GCACTTTGGCGATGCCGTTGCCGAAGTCGTGGCAGGCGCAGCATTCTGTGCATCTGGGTGTGTGTTTGTGTGGCAGGGGTCGCATTCGGCAGCTGTCTAGAGGGACAGGATGTTGTCGCGCGCGCGGCGGGGGGTGTGCGAAATCGTGGCAGGCGCAGCACTTTGGCGATGCCGTTGCGAAATCGTGGCAGGCGCAGCACTTTGGCGATGCCGTTGCCGAAGTCGTGGCAGGCGCAGCATTCTGTGCATCTGGGTGTGTGTTTGTGTGGCAGGGGTCGCATTCGGCAGCTGTCTAGAGGGACAGGATGTTGTCGCGCGCGCGGCGGGGGGTGTGCGAAATCGTGGCAGGCGCAGCACTTTGGCGATGCCGTTGCGAAATCGTGGCAGGCGCAGCACTTTGGCGATGCCGTTGCCGAAGTCGTGGCAGGCGCAGCATTCTGTGCATCTGGGTGTGTGTTTGTGTGGCAGGGGTCGCATTCGGCAGCTGTCTAGAGGGACAGGATGTTGTCGCGCGCGCGGCGGGGGGTGTGCGAAATCGTGGCAGGCGCAGCACTTTGGCGATGCCGTTGCGAAATCGTGGCAGGCGCAGCACTTTGGCGATGCCGTTGCCGAAGTCGTGGCAGGCGCAGCATTCTGTGCATCTGGGTGTGTGTTTGTGTGGCAGGGGTCGCATTCGGCAGCTGTCTAGAGGGACAGGATGTTGTCGCGCGCGCGGCGGGGGGCGTGCGAAATCGTGGCAGGCGCAGCACTTTGGCGATGCCGTTGCGAAATCGTGGCAGGCGCAGCACTTTGGCGATGCCGTTGCCGAAGTCGTGGCAGGCGCAGCATTCTGTGCATCTGGGTGTGTGTTTGTGTGGCAGGGGTCGCATTCGGCAGCTGTCTAGAGGGACAGGATGTTGTCGCGCGCGCGGCGGGGGGTGTGCGAAATCGTGGCAGGCGCAGCACTTTGGCGATGCCGTTGCGAAATCGTGGCAGGCGCAGCACTTTGGCGATGCCGTTGCCGAAGTCGTGGCAGGCGCTGCATTCTGTGCATCTGGGTGCTCTGTAATCGCATCCATACAAGGGGCGCACGGTACATGTGTGTGGACATTTGAACTCACATCCTTGGGAAAAACATAGCATGTGGGGTTATCCGGTCCTTTAATTAGGTGCACAGGTTGGACGTCCATACATGAAGTGGTGAAATCAAAAGGGGATGTTGGCTCTTCCCCGGCTCCATTGCCCCAGAGCCAATGCCGACCCCAGATTGATTCGCATCTGCCTCAAGATAGGTTGCCCCGTCGTCAACATTTAACCCAGCGATTCAGTGGCACCCTGTTTCCATTTGTTTCGCTGAGTGCCCCTCTATATACTTTTCTATGAGCATGACTGGCCAACTGGGTCTACCAAAGGATTATTGGTCCTGGGTCCCCATTGCCCAATGTGTTCTTTCCTCAAAATTAGGGCCTTCTACAAGTGGCTGGTTCCCTGTTGATTGCCCTGCAAACCCATCCAGAAAGGGACTTCCTGTTTTGAGGCAGACGCATGAGCATTTGATCTCGGGTGGTTAAGACTCTGTTGAAGGATTCGGGCCCTGCTGGTGTCGCTCGAAAGGTTGAATCCACATAAGCCAAGCACAAGACGTCTAGCTCCAGACGCATGAAGGGTTGAGAAAGAGCCTTTTGGTCGGAAAGACCTCAGGCAAGAAAACAACGTCAATCAGATTCATAGAAGGAAATAGAAGCAATCGAGCAGCCCATCTACGTTTGGTTTATTTGTGGCGGAGTTCATGTTAACTTGATTAATAGACAGTTATTGGAGGAAATGGGGAGTTGGCAGCGCAATGATTGCCGATTAGGAAACCTTTCCATCCAGAAATTAAGGCCCTAAATGTAATTACATTCATGGTCTTGAAGGGTAGGTATTCAAAAACCGGTTGTCTGTCGTGACCCACGGGCTTTGTTTTTCCCGCAAGGCTTGTAGAATTCAAAGGTCGAAGTTGGACCTTTGCGTTCTACACGCGTTTCTTACCTTCGCGTTACTCGGGTTTGCTTCAGGCGCAGATCCCCCACCCCGCGCAAAAGGCGGGGGGTGCCCTTCCCGCTTTGGGAAAGCGGAAGCTTCGCAGGAGCAGTTTTTTTTGGTTTTTAATGAACGGGCTGATTGCTTACTTTACAAACCAAAATAAGTTCATGATCATAAATACAAACAATGTGTGCAACTAGCTAGCCCCTTGTATTACGCACCTGAACGAGCTTGGAACCCCAAGAAGGGGTCCTTCCCGATGGGATTCCTGGTGTATTTGTGCAGGGAGTCACTGTCACGGGCCCTATTTCTGCTTGGCGAGGGCTTTCCTCGCGCAGCCTCCGGTCAATCGATCTTTGCGTTGGAAAAGCCCGCGGATCACAGGTTGCTCCGAACCTTGAAAAAGATGACCGAACCGCAATAATTGAATCATGGTTTTCTTTCAGGAGGGGCAATCATCTACCCTTGTGCCGATCGGGTTTTGGAGCAACCGCGGTGCTTGCTGATTCGCTTGTTCAAAGGCCTCAGCCGTCCTGTTGAATGCGTTGGGAAGCTCCGACCCGTGGATCACAGTCAATAGGAAGCCAACTGCAATGGGAGTCCAAGGCGTATAACAGAGGCAGGCACCCAATCCAATGTTGCAAGTTGATTTGGAGTGCATGCCAAACTCATTAACCATGCCGGGATGCTCATGTGTGTTAATACTGATGGTTTCAATCTGTCAGTGATCGTTGGAGCAACGGACGGTTCCCCCCCAATTTGTTCTCAAAGCTTTCCTTGCACCCGTCCCCACACTACTTGCCGAGCCTCTGCGCACGCTTTCCGCTTCGCGGCGTCTCCGCAGCCTTCCGCTGTCCCGCGTGCCACTTACCAAGTTTCCATGGCGCCATGGGAATCGTGAGATTTCTCCCTGGCGCCTTCAGCCAATCAACTGACCTACCCCTTCGAGGTGGGCACCAGCGAAGCGCAGTGGTCTTTGCAGGGTGGCTTTGAAGGGCAACCCGCGGGAAAACCAGAAAGCCGCATAAAGCCGCCATTTCTTTTGGCGGGGGTTCGTATGTTCAAATCCCCATGTGGTTTGCTTGCCCAGTTTCTGGTTGATGGTAAGTATTTTAGGTGTGTTGAAAGAGAACGCAAAAGGCAGCGGTGAAACAATGGGACGTTTGCAAGAATGTCACAACAGTTGGCCCAACCCTGGCAGGTATTGATATTGCTGAGCAGTGCGCAGAGCCCCAACACACTGTTGTTTTGTTCTTCCATCGGCTTGATTCAAGTTCACCGAGATGAACAGTTGTTAATTCCATGTGTGGTCTTGTTTGCGCAGGTGTTGCTGGTTTTTGAAACTGGCTGATCGCTTGTGAATAAGTTTTACGTGATTGGTTGTTTGCGTTCTGGAGTTATCTCTGACTGTTTGCTGGTTGCTTGAATCTAATTCTGCAATGCTCGTTTCAAAGGCTACTTGAACTGGCAATAATTGGAATGCCCGTTTGCCTGGCTCTGCCCACACAGACCATGTAATGCTATATAGAGAACACATTTTCCAGACGCCTCACCGGCTTCGGATTTGGGAGGCGATGCAATGCGAGAAGATGCAGCAGCACCTCTCCGATGCAACGCGCTTGATTAGCAGCGAGATTTGGAGCTTCGTCTCATCTGGTGCAAAAGGGCCCACCATTCGGGCAAATCATTAGGGCCCCCCTGCCCAGAATGATCCTCAGAACCCATCTAAGGGCCGCCTTCTAACAGTTAAGAACCTCCCCTAGGTTGGGGTGGGGGGGGGGCTTTGGCTGTTTTCCCACTCACATGAGCAAGTGACGAACAGACTGGAAGTCTACTGTTGCGTCGGGCAGGACATACATTCCGTCAAAAACACCCCTGAAACTGGCAAATAATTTTGAGGAATCAACCCATTCAGAACCACGACCTGAACCACATGAGGGCTTCGAAGAGTATACCAGCATTGCAGGAGGAACGGATGAGACGGTTCTTGGGGGCAGGGCAAAGCAATTCATTATAGCACACTCTCTTGCTCGATGCCATCGTTTTGACCTTTTGGTCTCCAGATGTGGTCTGCTTTGTGTCCGACTATCAAAAAGCTGGCCAGGGACCTCTGGAATCTTAATAGGTTTACATGCAACATCATATATTGATTCAGCATATTTTAGTATGTTCTTTTTTATTAGAGAAGCATATGTTGGAGGGTGTTTACGTTATCTTCATTCTAATATTGAATAATTTGTCCATTATGTGTTATGTTTCTACATCTTGGAAGAGCTATATCTTATGCTTCAATTGCTTATAATCCTAATAATTGGTTTTCTGGAACTATTATGTTTTCCCAACTTATCTTGAAGGGTCAGTTCTCTTCTAGAGGACATCGTGTGTGTGTGTGTGCGCTCAATATATGTATATATTTCTATATATATATAGTTATTTGCATATTTGTTGGATATGCAGGTGTGCTAGACACATGATTAGTTTGATGTGGAATAGTGTTATCTTTGTGGCTAAGTGGGCATCCGGGGCCCTCTGTGGTGGAAAAAGCGCAATCTTTGAGAGGTACAGGACGACAAAAGTCGACCAACACATATCGCAGTATTTTCATGGGAGCTCCCCATGGAGGAACCCAGCTCCAGTCGCAACTAGCAAAGTATTCATTGTAAAAAGAGAGGGGGTTCTTTGGTCCCTGGACAAAACATGTGTGGCCTTTGAAAGAGGCGGGATCCGTTTTCGGATCAACGTTTGAGCGAGTGAGTGAGTATGTTTGCGACGTGTTACTGCTCAGAAAGGTATGTACCACAATGGATATTGTCAACACCTGTCCTTTGCATGAATACCGCAGCTTGCTGACTTAAACTTGAAACCAAGCACGTCGAAGACAAAAAAGGCAATTCAGTTCCATTGTCTCACAATACTCCTTGAGCCACCATCGTTTTTTTCAGGAACGCACACTTCACAACACTTTCCGCAGAACACACGAGAGCCTCCGTTTGCAGATGCAATCGGATTCCAGCTCTGATGAAGACGCTTCGCACAACCATTCGCGCCAGCGGCTTTATACTTTGGGCGGTGTACAGACGGTGTCCGGCAAGGCCTATCAGCATGTGGACTCTTACAACTCCGTCAAACTGGCCTCCAGTGCGTTGTGCTGCGTGCTCAAGGGCACGGTACTGACGAACCGGGTTTCTCACGCCAACAGCAAGTGTTCAACCTAAATTGTAAATTTAATACAATAGAAGTTCTGAGCTTAGCCAAATTTGTATTTCTTGGGGCTTGGCTTGGCTGAGGTGTTGTGGGGCGAGCAGTTCTTGCTCTTTCTGCTGTATATGAGCAGCTGGCGCACTGCGGCGACCTTCATGAAAGATGCCACCTCTCATGGAGATGACAGCGCGGAAGTCCGCATCACGCGGCATTACACCGAGGTCACTTAATTGACAAACCACTACTTTTTAACATCTTTCAACCTTTGATGGTAGTCAGTCACACAGGGTCAGAAGATACGAACAGCTGTAAGCATCAGTGCATAGACGATGTTCATCACCTACCTAATCCTTGGTTTTCTACAGAGTTCTATCGGTTTTCTATGGAATTGTCATTGTTTTCTACTTCTTAGCAAACATCAGCATTTCTGGAGAAAACGTGATTCTTTTTGCCAGATCTGAAAGACAATGTTTGCCACATTTGACACAAGACATAGCCAGTTTTGCGGGTTTTGGGCTTGGGGGAAGAAGTCCTGAGATAATGACCTCCCTGGCCGGCTTTCTCCTGGCCTTCTACACTTCCATTGCGGTGAGCCGATGGTGGCGCCTCCGCACCGAAGGCGTGGGTCGCATCTGGGGCGCCAGCAGTCAGCTCATGATGCTGCTCGGGGCCCTGGTTGGGGACCACGAGCCGTTGGCGGCCATCCGGAGGTATGCGCGCGCCTCGTTGGCTATCCATTTCTTGAGGCGGCGCTACCCCTCCGAGTACATGGACAAGTTGGATGAGTTGGAAGAGCGAGAGATCCTCTTGGAGGATGAGATGGAGAAGCTCCGTGAGGTCGGCGTCAATTTGGCGGAGAGCGTCTGGACTTGGGTGGCTCAGATTGTGGTGAGAAAGGCCAGGACCGAACAGATGTCGGAGGTTATGCTTGTTCACCTCCTGCAAGTGGTGGAAAAAGGACGCGCTGGGGCAGCCTGTATCGGAGCGCAAATGGGAACGCCCATCCCACTGCAGTATGTGCATTTAATGGGCCTTCTTGTGAAGACTCACAATGTCATCCTGGCCTGTGCCTGCGGCTTCCAGCTGGCATGCATGAGCCCTCGATATGCCGTGGGCATCTCGCTAAGGACCTTCCTGGTACCATTTCTCTACAATGGAATCCTGCTGATTAATGCAGAGTTGGCAGACCCGTTTGGGGGTGGGGTGAACGCATTCTCGCTGGAGAAGTACGAGAAGGGCATTGAGAGTGACGGCCGGGGCTATGTTCGAGCGAGCGTCCACGTCCCCGACTGCTTGCAGGCTTTGCCATAG